TTCCATCTTATATCTACTCAATCTACTTAATCATATTATTCAGCTTTTCCCGCCTGCCGTCCATTCCTAATTCTCTAAACATCGCTTGAAATAAAAATTTATTTTCATACCTTATTTTTTTAAACTCATGTCTTGCCATCGTAACCTCCGCGGCGCAGCTGCCGCTTCCCTTTTGGACTTTGACTCAAATATACCCTATCATACTTTTTTACGAAATTTGAAATTGTTACGTACTGGTCAAATTATAGTAGATTTTGAAATAATATTAGAAAAGAATAGGGTCATATTTCATGGTCCTCCAACCTCTAATAAATCACGGACGGTGAGGGGGAAAGTTAAGTTAGAAGTTGCTGGAAAGCTAAACGTGAAAGTATGTGTTTTACAAGACCAAGATTTACTACTGTTTGTCTATACTCGTTTAAAAAATTTACTATTTAACTCACTTTCAATCATTTTCAATTTTATCCTACTGCAGGAGATCATGTTGACACTGACCGGTGACTTTAGATTTTGCAAATTAAATAATGTTTCAACTGTAAATGATGCCACTATTCCACGTCAAGGAACTGTATTTTCAACGTGCATATTACTGGCAAATAAACGTACTCTTTATCCAGGTCTTCATGAATTCTTTTTCGAATTTCTCATTCCTGGGTGAGTCTATTATAAATTTATATATATATATATATATATATTTAATATTATATTTAAGTTCATTTTAATCTTTTAACAATTATTATTTTTTTATTAATTAATTATTTTTAATTGTTCGTTCATCAGTGATTTACCGGAATCAATTAGTTCGGATCACGTGCTATGCGAGTATTTCTTGAGAGCCGATCTTATTCCACGCGATACCGATGAATTAAATTCTCTTAATAAAGTCGTGGATATCGTAGATATCTTTGTGGAACGTGCAATGCTATTGAATGATGGTTATATCTCTGATGGTCTTGAATCTATGAGATATATTGGTTCAAAAAAAAATGTGTACGTGTTTACCCTTATAATCATTTAGTTTATTTCGTTTATTTGATAATTTCGATTATAATTCTTAATTATAACCTCTAAAATTTACTTTATAATTCCCTCTATATCATTTTATTTAGTCTTGATTTTGAATTCATAGTGCCAAAGATCATACGTCTTAACTCTGATGCTCTTAGGTTCTGTGCTCGTTGGGATGGTCTGCGTGTTGCCAACGTTACTTTTAGCTTTGTTCAAAGCGAATATTTGAAATCTTCCCTTCCTGAAACTGATATAGAAGATTCTAGTCCTCCAACTGTAATTGATTCTGCTTCAAGATTTATCTCTGGTCCTTTCCGCTTTGATTTACCGCGAAATGAACGTTTAAAATTACAATGTAGACCAATGGTTTTTCAGCTTCCCATAACTGAGCCTTTTGTACATGATTATGTTTTATTTGGCATTGAGATTCGTCATCGTTTACTTATCTCCATTCAAATTGCAAATCGACGTAAAGATATTATTCGTTTCGAGGTCCCTATCACTGTTGAATCTATAGTTCCAAATTTGGATTCATTTCCGAGTCCTTGCAATGTTTGTCAACCTCCTCAATCTGCCTTACTTCATTTTGCAAACAAGATTTATCATGGTAAAATCTTAGACTTTAGCAAGGATCTCGTGCCTAAAATGCCTAAAAATCTTTCAAATAATTCTTTGGATTCAAAGAAACCACACGATCAACTTCCTCCTCAAGTCATTAAAAATAACGAAGAAAATGATAAAGTACAGCGGATCGTTCCGTCAAGATCTAGCAGTATTCAATATATCAACAGAAATTCTACTATTAATAATAGTAGCAATAATAGTAGCATTCATGATGATCATCACATTAACTTTAAGAGTTCCATTAGCACTATAATTGAGAGTGATGATGATGATGATGACGAAACTGATAAAATCAGTTCGGAAAAAACTGGTACGAGTGCCACTACGGCTACGTACATTAATTCTACTGAAAATACCCAACCTTTTGCTCAGAAAGCTTTACCAAAACCTGTATTTGCTACTGCTTCTTCAAATATTGTTGCTGATAAACTTGCAAAATTACAATATATTTTGCAACAAAGACGAAGTCGTCGAAGATCTATGAGCGCTAAAAATCCTGTCAAAAAAAGTCGTTCTTCATCGTCCGCGTCTACTGTTAAATTTGATAAGGCTGAAATATTTGATATTATGGCTACGCGTTCTGCTAATTGCCCTAATATTCCTTTGGAAACGACAACGCTGACGGCTTAAAAAATTAACAACAAACCAATTGCATATATTTCATATATTTTTTAATATTAATACTACCTCACCCAATTTTCTCTCTCATATTAAAAAAAAAAAAAAAAAAAAAAAACAAAAAAAACATTTAACATTTAATTGTACAGTATATTGACAGTATATATGACTATTTGATTTATATGCATATGGTTATCTGTAAATTTATGAACTATTTTTCTTTCGGGACAAATAGGTTAAAAAATTATGTGTTAATTAGAGGGAGGGTATATATGTGTATATACAACTATATTTATTAAATATCTTTCTTTACTATCATTTATATATATTTATTAAAATAGGTTCATTATCACTAAACCTAGGTGTTAGAGGGAGATGACACGTTTGAAAGGGTGATATCGTTGTTTCCTTACGATCATTATAAAGATTGGGATCCGTTAGAACCTTTTCTCGTGTTTTGATAACACGTAGAATTTGATAATGTTTAATTCCCTCCATCTTTAAAAAAATTTCTTCGTTAAGGTTTCTTCATTCACTTTGTAAATATTATAGTATGAATGCTTCGTATTTGTGTGGTTTTTTTTTTTTTCTGTTTTTAAAAAATTAATAGTATCTAGGATCTAAAAATAAAATAAAGAAAACAATAAAAATATTTGAAAAAAAAAGTTTCACGCATGTTAACATTTTTTAGTACGTATGTATATACATGTTATCTTTAGTATATAAATTATAATTAAGAAATATATAATTAAGAAATAATTTAGAAATATATAATTAAGAAATAATTAAGAAATAATTAGAAATAATTTAGAAATAATGAGAAATAATCTAGAAATAATTAACGTTAAGAAATGATTAATAAGAAATAATTAAGAAATAATTAGGATATACGTATATATTTGCTCGGCCGGTGTTTTGCGTTGGGCCGAAATGTTTACACCGAAGTGTTTATCTCCGAAATGTTTACGTCTAAAAAGGGTAGACTAGAAGCCACATTATAAAAATTTCTCTTTTCAGAATCGTCTTACAATCAATAATTAAATATATATAGTAATCAATATCGCTATAAAAATGGAATAGATTTAAGGGTAGGGTGTACAAATTTCCAATTTCATATAAAATAGATTGTAGATCAACTTTGTGTAACGAATTTTATAT